CTTATCATGGATGAGAAGGGTACACCAAAGGGGATTACCGGAGACACTATAATCTTCGGGTTCCCCTGCTTCTTGAAGGAAAACCCGAACGTTATCGCGGAAAGGACCCAAAGGTTCAATTGGGATACCAGGGTCGCCGAACGAGTTAAACCTGAAAAACTTTGGCCACCGTTTTCGCTTCTTGCAGGCTTCGATGAGAGCGAAAGACATTGTTGATTATGATGATTATGGAAAATTAGTATCGGCTTCGATTACGAGCACTCTCGCATCGTGTTTTCGTGCGAGGAACAGAGCTCAGTGCAAACCAGAGAAGAGAACTTTAACTCAACAAACTAATTCCGTTATAAAGTGTTGGCGCCTTCAAAAAGTTGAATTGCTTCTCGGGGTATATTTGTCATTTCGACTTAAAACTTTTAGTTTGGGAGCTTTTGTTGAATCGTAATGGTGGAGGGAACTGCGGAACGTTGATGATCTATCGTCCACGGTCAGAATCTGTGAGAAACAAAATAAACTCAATTGTCAAAATTTATCTAGTAACGAAAAAGTTTAATCATGTTTTTTTTTTAATTAAAAAAAATCCATTTCAGTATACGCATTGTTATTTAAAGATTAAAAATGATTTTCAAAAAAAATGTTGGTTTTTTAAAACTAATATTCAAAATCATTTTTTTAATGGGAGACTAATTTTTTAAGACTAAAATATCAATAAATTTTAATGGATAGTCAACAGCCTAATTTTAGTGATTTCATTCCAATTTTATATATAAAAAATATTTATACATTATTTAAAAAGAGGATCACGTATTTTAAAAATTAAAGTTAAAAATTTATCTTTTTATTTTTGTTATTATTTTTTATAATTAACTATTTAAAACAATAAATTGTCTAAATTAGATAATTTATTATTTTAAAACATTAAATTATAAAATGAGTGATAAAAATTAAAAAAAAATCTCTAATATTTAATATTTGAATAATTTGATTCAAATATTTGTTAATAGTTTTTTTTTATTTCATTTCTTCCTTCAAATAGGAATATATATATATATATATATATATATATATATATATATATATATATATATATATATATATATAATTTCTAAAGTGAATTAAACTACACTTTCACTCTTGAATGTTTTGATGAAGTTTCCTATAAAACCTATATCAACATCTCATGTTGGAACAACATGTTAACATTGTGTTTTCTTACTTAACATTATTTTATACATTTATCATCATATATATAATATTAGGTTGAAAAAGTTTTAGAAACGAAATATATCTGGACACGCACAAGTTAATAAGTTATTGAAAACTAATTAGTGATGAAAATTTATCTTACTAACTAAGGAAATGAAAGTTTATTAAATATTTCTTCAAGTACTCTAATTAAGTCGAAAGGCTAGATTGAAAGCCACGTTTTTAGAAGAAGAGGGATGCAAGAGTTAAGGAGTGTGGTCTGATTTTTATGTCTTGGAAAACTGAGAAAATTGGAGTCCTCGTGCTCGTAGTCGTCACTTTAACCATATTCTGGGTCTGCATCAGTTCTATGTCATATTGTGTCTTGAAAATATTGTGAAATTTAAATTCTTAAGGAAGATAACATAATACACTTAAAATTTATCTTATCTTATGTTTAAGTTTATTTTATTTTATTATTGTTGTGGTCCATTAAGAAGTGGATGAAAAATAATTATATTTTCAGCTCTTGTGTGCATGAGTTTGTGTTTGAAAACATTAAGCATTTTTTCATACTAAACTTAGATCATTCCTCTCAACCATTAATCCATTGTTCTATCGTATTAATCATTTTACCATTTTTAACATTAGTTTTTTATTATTATCTTTTTGTATGGACCTTAATAAATTAATTAAAGTTTATTCAAACTGATATTTTGGGCCAAATGTAACAGTGTTTTTAGAGCCCAACTTATATTGATTACTACATTTTTTTTCATAAATTAAGATATGTTTAGAGCCCAACTTATATTGGTTACTATATATTTTTGTTTATTTTTTTAATGTTTGAAGAAGTTATAAATTAAGATATTTATGGATTTATAAGTAATAAAGAAAGAAAGTGAAATCAAAGAAAAAAAATCAAAAATATTTGTATTCATTCGAAAGAAAAATAATATGAAAAAGAAAAAAATATTTATTTTAAAAAATAAAAAGTAATAAAATTAAGATTAAAATTAAATATTTATTTAATTAAAAAATTATATATATAATTATTAATTACTTTTTTATGAATAAAATAAACTTTTTAAATAATAATTTTTAAATTAATATTTTATTTTTAAAAAAATAATATACTTTGATATATAATTATAAAATTATTTTTTAAATTGTTTAAAATTAAATTCACAAAATAATATAATATTACAATATATATTACATTATTCATTTTATTTTTATAATCTTTCGTATTTAAGATATTTTATTAAAACTATAAACATAAAAATAAATAATTATTTATTTAAATAAAAAAATTATTAAATAATATTTTTCTTTTACATCCTACTCCTTTCCGTTTCAATATAAATGGAAAGTAGACATACATAGAAAAATAACATTTTTTTATTTCTTTCTTAACTACTAAACAATAAAAATATGTTTTTTTTTTCACTTATTTATCTGTATCAATTATTTTCTATTCTGAAACTTTATATCCAATTATTCGAAAACACAATGGCAATGGAAGCTTGCAATGTTTGAGAGAGAAAGTAAAAAGAGTTATAGGCTTAAATAAACCCTAGAGATGATATACCTAGTATTGTTTTTATCATCCTATTCACATGCATATCACAAAATGTCTTTTTTTTTTCATTCCTATAAAATTAAAAGACCAATTCTAGTCCTATAAAATTGTATTAAAATGTGATTTTACTTATCATAAAATTGAAAATTTTAATTCTATCTCATATAATATAGGCAAATTTATTTTTGTTCCTATTTTTTTAAGCAGTTGCTTTGATACGTTATTTAAATATCTTGTTTTGATATCTCCCATTTTGACTTTAAATATTTGTATGTGTGTAATAAGTATTCTACCAACAATTTAGGGTTCTATTTTTATACTATTATTTTTTAATCACAAAAACAACTAAAAATATAATAATTTAAAAAAAATTAATTTATATTTGAACTCTTAAGTTCATCTTGTATTGAGTCAAAATTCCTAATCCGGACAATCACTCCCCATAGATGGAGTCTTTCTCTCAACTTGACATGGATTTATTTAGACAATCTTCTTTATAAGAATTTTAAGAGTAAGAATAACCTGGTTATCTTATATATTTTTTTATAATAAAAATATGTTTCTGCTGATTAATATAACATGGTTATCTTATCTCTTTTTTGGATTGGTTGTGCATGTATATTTGCTCAACCTGCATTATTTCAAATCAAACATTATCAGAGTCTACTTTTTTTCAAACATTATTATTCCTTTCTGGGTTAGTAACTAATCAATAACTCAACCTACCATAGAGAGTATCACAACATAAAAAGAGTTAATAGTGAAGTTTGTTTGCAACTATTTGTATGCAAAATCTGAGTTAATAAGCGAGATCTAGTAAACTAGATGATGCATCTATCCATAACTGTTCGGAGATATTCAAAGAGCTAATAAGAAATTTACTCTATCATGCTGTCTATGATAGGTCGACTATATATACATGCATATGGAGATGCTTTAGGTGCCTCTATACGAAGATGGTAGATACTACTTGTGGAAAATCATATAATTTAAAAACATCAAATAACGTCTTAACATATTAAAAATTTGGTAAACATTGACTGAAATAAAAAAGAGTTATGAAGATATGGATATTTCTTGATGCAGTTTTTTAAACCAGTATGTTTGTTTTCCATTTCATTTGAAAATATTTTTTTCTGATAAATGGTTACGATTGCGAGCTGAAAAATCCCAACCAAGTTTTCAATATTTCCATGCAGCCAGGCAGATACCTACCCCTTCAGGTGCGTGCGTCTCTCCTCATTCTTTTTCCATTTGTATCCGCTGAGAGTAAAAATAGTAATCATGACAATCGCATACATTACAGATTCACAATGATCAGTGAGATTTGTATCAATCCCCAAAAAGTGGGACAAAATAAAAAAGGAGATCAACCATAATCTGCTAACTTCCCATAATTAGTTTTAACACTTACAACGCAAAAAGTAAGGCTAATGAGAAAAGAGAAAGACGTATAGAAGCTCTTACGTCAAGCTTTAGTCAATCTCAGAAATATAGTAAATGGTCCTCGGCCTTTACCATCCCCATCGTTTCTAATTCAAAGGGAGAGAATGGTGTAGTTCTTTCCAAGTGCTAGCAATTGAGTGGTGGATTCACTGAACTGTCTTCTGATTTTCTTTATATTTATGCAATGATTTCACAGCTATTTTACAATGTGAGCATAACACTTTTGAGTGGTGGATTCACTGAACTGTCTTCTATTTTTCATTATAAGTTTACTTATGTCCACACATATCTGAATTCATCCCAAGCCTAACACTTTTGAGCCAAGTCATTGATTGTCTTTTTCACTATCGTTTCAGTTTGAACTTCCTCAAGCTTAATTTTCTGATGTAACTGATCTGCGGTTCTAGCATTGGCCTCTGTTTTTCCATACCATGTTTTTTTTTACATAGTCTGTAGTATCTTATCTCAGTTTCATTGACGGTGCTTTAAGAAATCTTATCGTATAATATACTGTACATTACAATTGTAAGCTACATGATAAACTGAAAGAATTTCTTTTATTGTAGCGCTGAATTCGTGAATTACAATAAAGCATCTTCGTATCTCTCAAATCTAAAACTTTCTTAAAAAATGAATTTCAAAACTTCAATTGAGTGTTAGAGATACAATTTGTATCTTCCGTATGAGACTGTGTGTCTTTGTACAAGAGAATAAATAATATCCTGTTTCTACAATATGAGACCTATACAAAAAGGGAATTCGAAACTCATCATCCTATATCGCAGATCAATCAGAAGGGTTTCTTCAAATGCTTGAAATCCAAGGAGGAGTCAACACACTCAGCTTTGCTCCGGCAACCATTTAACAATTTCAATAACTCCGTAGCCTTCTCTTTGGTGCCCTCACCACAGCCCACTTGCAACAAAACAAGGAGTTTATGAAACACCCCCATTTGAAGAGCCTCAATCAACACACCTTCTTCTGTCTTGTCACAAATCTTCCAGAGAACCGAAACCGCAAAGCTGGAACTCAATTCGGACACCCTCAACAGCTTCTTGATCACAAGAGGCAAAGTCAAAGCATTACTTTTAGCCATCTCCACCCCTTGTTTACAATCACAAAGACAATCCAACACCCCCAAAGCCTTCTCACACACCCCTCTCTCCGCATCAACAAGAACCTCCAACAAGACCGAAACCAACCCCAACTCCACGAATCTCTCGCAAGTCACACCTCTATTACTCCCTGAAGAATTAACCAACTTAAAAATCGTTGACAAACATGCCTTGGTGGAAGCACTCCCAACAGGCTCCTTAACCATGTTAACCAAAGCTTCAAAAACTCTTTCACATTTCACCAAAGCCTCAACACGCATTTCCTTAAGCAACAAAGCAGCGTTCTGCCTTGTCGCCAATTGTTTACCATTCATGAACCAAACCATGCAACCAATAGAATTCACGGACCCCAACACCGATCTACCCTCTTCAGAAAGAGGACGCATCCACGTCAAAGCCCCCAGAATCTCATCCAACACAACCACGTTCTTTTCAACCACCCCACGTGAGAAAATGTTAAACGCATTAGCTAGTGCTAGAGCAGCACCGTTGACCACTATGCACCTCTTGTTCCTCTCACTCTCCTTCCCCCACGCCTTAATCTTCCTCACCAACTCCACACACTTGTTCTCGTCCCCGTGCTGCGCAGCCGACAGGACCCTCGTACATGTGTCAGTAACCTCGTATGGGGTCACCGGGATCCGAGGAGTGGGGATCCGTTCGATCCCGTAGGAACGGTGCTCTACGCACCAATCCTGAATCATCCTCCTAATGGCGTGGTTCGGGATCATCTCAAAGCTGGTCAACTCCGTCTTCGTAACCGGGCACGTGCGGTTCCCGGACTCGATCCACTTCTCGATGCTATCTCTGTCGTAGGTTATCCCCGTGGACACCGTCACAGGGTCCTTCATCATGTCCAAAGTTACTGGGCACCGGAAGTGGGTGGGGATCGCGATCTCTATCTCCAAATCGCCACCGGAATTCAACTCTTTCCCCTTCCGGGCACGCCGGAACACTCTCCCTCTGGTCCATGACAAAACCATGTTTCTTCAATGATAAGATTTACGATTATTTTGTATGTACTTTGTTAGGTAGAACTAATTCGAAGGATTGTATATGTTTGAATTTGATGAGGGACAGAGAGCTGGAGGGTTGGGTATATATACACACGGGTCAAAGCTAGCGAGGTAAGACCGTGAGAAAGGAATAGTTCAACGAGAATGCGTCAAATAAGAGGGTGACTATTGGTTTATTTTGTGCGCGTGTGTGTTAGGACTTATAGGACTTGGGATTATTGTTTGAACGTTGAACGTTGAAAGTTTGAACACACTCACTCGGGGCTCGAGGATTTTGAAATATCTTAATTAGTTAATTGATTAAAATGAGGAAATGAAGTAACAGTGGTAGTAGGAGTAGTTGGTTGAGGGTGTTGTAGGGATGAAGTTTGAACGGCGTGGGGTGGAGTTGACTCGGACTGAGTCAGCAAGGTCGGTGTGGTGACTTTGCATTCCCTTCGTTTTTTGCATTTTGAACTTGAAATTGCATGCATGCTCTTATTTTACTCTTCCTCTATTTGGCTTTTCTGCTTGTAACATTGCGTATTCTTTTTGATAATTTGTGGCAATGGCGTAGGGTGAGTCTACTAGCGTGTGCGTGTGCGTGTGCGTGTTTAATTTAAGTTGTCCCCGCCGCGTAGGGAAACATGGGTCGGTGTTTACTACTTTTACCAAATTCTTTTCATTCAACTCAAATATAGGTATACAAAGCCAAAGAATATGCTTCATTCTATTTGCTTTTCAATTATATGCTTTTAAAATGCGATTTCATATTTTACTATATAAAAGGTGCAAGAAGAATTATAAAATTACACAATAATATTTTACATAATAAATTTTGTTAAAATTAAATGTATAATAACACATACTCAAAATAATAATACTGGATATAATTTAATTTTAGCTTAAATTGTAATTTTAAATAAAATGTGATTTAATTTTAGCTTTTAATTTGGAGATACAAATATATTTATGATGAAAATAAATTCCAAAATATTAAAAAACTAATATTAAAAAAATGTATATATATATATATATATATATATATATATATATATATATATATATATAATTTAAGCACAACCCAGAAGAAAGAAATATGAAAGTAATATGTCTTTAACAATACTGAAAATTAAATTATTAAAAAAAGAATCAGATTCCATAAATTTGTTAGAAAATAATTTTAAGATAATTAATTTAATTTAAATAAAAAAAAATTATTTTATAATATATATATATATATATATAAAGGTAAAAGAAAAAAAGAAAAAATAAATCATTAACTATTAAAAACGTTTACTAAAATTGATAAAATTTATAATATAAGATTTAGGATAATAAAATTGGTCAATTTATCCTTTTTAGTCTATCATGTCTCTGACCTACTAAAAATGAAGTTGGATTCGTCATATAATTAGTTAGTACGGTTAGAAACTCTTATTTATCTTAATTTTTTTAGTTATATAGGAGATGAATTAGTAATTTTTTATCTATATAAAAAATATATTTCTTAAAGAAAATATGTTCTTTAAATATTTTTTAGATTTTTCTTTTTTAATTAATATTTTTTATTAGATATTTTAATTTTTATTTATTAGTATTTATGATTGAAATTATAATATAATAATATATTTATATATTTTAATAATTTAATATATACATGTAATATTTTAAATTATTTTTTATTTTAATATATAATGAAAAAAAATAAACATGTCTATCCAGTTATTTTTTACTTGTCGGATTAATAAATTAGATAAAACTGGCCAAAGCGCATTAATAAGGTAAAATTATCCAGTTTTTTTTATAAGATTATACGTAGAGAGGGAAAAGTTAATAATTTATTTATCTTGAAAAAAAGAATCCTCATTCTGTTAATATTTGGTGTAACTTCTCTTATGTTTGATGAAGAAAAAGAGAATAAAAAAATTAGATATAAAAACAATGTAAGTACTGTTTTTTTTATTATTATTTTACACAGTCTTATCGACAAGCAATTTTCGTCCTCTTTTAAAGCATTATTCCTATACGAAATACATAACATAATGTGATGAGAGTAGATGATATACATGCTATAAAATTGGATGTTGACTTAAATTGTTGAATAAAAATAAACTCAAGTTGGCATGTTGGTGTTTTTGGCACATGCATTACATATATGGTTGCTTCAATTCAACTTTGACTTCTACCAAACATAAACGTTGGTTGAACTGTTACCAGCTACAAATTAAAAACCATTTATAATAATTTATACCAAAGAATTTATAATAATTTACACACATTGTTTAATAAATTTAACTCATACATAATTGAATCTTGTATCATTTAATACACTTGCTTGTTGACCTTCAAGCTTCATTGGAGTAAATAATAGGCCTGTGTTTAGAAAACTACAAAATTAAATTATTTCCATAATGGATTACATTCAAACTCGGTTTTTGTTAGACTAATTTTAACAAAAAAGTGATTTTAGAATAAATAACTTGGTTTTAAGATAAATAAAGTCTCTTTTCCATTATTAGGTTTTTATTGGCCTCCATAAAATAATTAAGTGATTTATCAAAATTGGTCACCACCTAAAAGTGAATCTAGTTATATATATATATATATATATAGAAATACCAACCAAACCAAATCCATAAATAGTATCAAAAGTCAATAATGGGTTGCAAATAACCCAAATTGGTTTGGGCATGCCCGGTCTCAAAAATAGGTAAAAATCAATAATAATAATAAATAAATAAACGTGTAAGCTTTTTAGGTGAAGCTAAAAGTTTAAGACTTAAAGCATTTGAGGGTTAAAAAAATAAAGATCATGCGTGGCTGAGAAAGGTTTCATAATTAGAATTTTTAATGAGTTCAAACAAATTAAATTTGAATGATTTTGTATTCAACTCGCTTACTTTTTAAATATTTTATTTCGAAAAGTAATTCAAGTGCTAATTTTATTTTCTTAACTAGATATTACCTAATTTAAAATTTTGTTTTAAATTATGTATTTAAAAATTAAAATTGTAATAGTAAATCTTATGAACATAATTATTATTATTTTTAGATATTTAATAATTTAAATAAAATTTATGATAGAGAATATTTAATTATTCAAAAACTATAGCAAAAATTATCTTGGAACTCTTTCTTTATAAAGCTATAAAATATTTTAAGATTATACACTTTGTTTTTTTATCGAACACGTTGATACTAAACTAAATAATTTGAATCTCCTCCCTGATTACTCTTAACCTGACATACTAATAAAGGTTTCCTTCATAGAGAGGGATTTGATGAGTAATTATTAGGTGATTAATGACGTCTTATTGAAAGGGGCAACACATTGTATTCATAGATAGATTGTTGATCTCATCTTAATTAGGTTTGAACTTAAAACCTGAAATAATGATGAATGATTATTCTCATACCAAAAGTTGAAGATTAGAAAACATACACTGAGGTGCTGCCGTGACTTGCTCATTGTCATTTTCAACTTTTCTTAATATCAGCCTTGAATTTTGATTTTGAGTAATTCAAAGTCAGATTTTATATTTTACGAATATGAAAAAGATGCAGTATGAGTTCAAAGTAATTACTGTGATTTGACTCAAAGTAATTGAGATCAATGAGTTGAAAATTGGATGATTGAGGGTAAAAAAGAAAAAGAAAAAGAAAAAATCGTCAATTATTTAACCCAAAAGTTAAAATAAAATAAAAACATATACATTTGTACGGTATAAATGGAGAACGGTTAAACTGTTGTTTCAATCAGTAGTCTTAATAAATCCACTGCAGATCTACATATGCAAAGTACAAATCACCACTCGGTTTCTTCGGTTGGTGTTTCTTTGTTGGTTTGGTGATTCTGCATCTCTTGTTCGTTGCAATAATCGGAAAGGTTATGCTTTGTTTGGTTTTGGAAAAAGAAATACACAGAATCCAATTTTATAAAATATAAGTTTGAGAAAAGAAACAAAAAGTAGAAACTAAATTAAATTTGAGTTGTTTGCCAGAATAAAAAAAATGTGAGAAATAGAGAAAAAATATTCTGAAATTGTATAATTTATAAAAAAAAAAAAGAATAAAAATATGTTAGTGATGATAATATGTTAGATATTTCAAAGTTGAGAATAAAAAGAGTACATAGCATGTATACAAATATTTATTTTCTGCTACATAAAATAGTTTATTTTCTACTGAAAAGTATTGTATTAATGTTAAACAGAGAATGAGAAACCTTAATTTATAAAACTATCTTCAAACATATTATAATTCTTTAGATTTTGAGTATAAAAATAAATTAAAAAAAACTTCCTGGAATCGTAATTAGAATTTTTATTTGAAAAAGTACACAGAAAAATTCTTAATTACATCCCTTTGTAATTGTTAACTAAAAAGGCTAAAAGGGCCCTTCATTTTGGTATGCTTTCTCCTTATTTCAAATGTTATGCTTAAACAAAAAAGTGGCTTGTGGAAGCCAGTTGGAAAGTTTGACAGCACAGCTTTTATCTTTTGGCTTAACTTGCACCTCCTTTTGCCACACTGCCACCTTTTCACAACCAGGCAAAGAGCAACATGCAGCAAATAATATTTGATTCTCTCTTTTAACTACTTCCTCACCTGTCTATTTTGTCCATTTCACAAATTCATGCTCATCCAAAACTGCTTCATTAACGCCAGATTCCTTGCAACATGATATGACAGCAATCATATGGCATGTAGCCACAAAGTTTTATTCCCATAATTTTCAAATCTCCCTCTCAAAAAATGAAACAAATTCAAGTTGCGGATTTACAAACGGTGCCAGTTGTGTGTTGTTGATCCTCATGTGTCATTTTTGTCACCGGTCATCTACATGCACTCCATACAACTTGCAACCAAATTGGTTCAACAAGTGTAATGTAATTAACATTAACTAATCAACAAGTTCGACAGTAATATTTGATTTACACATCTCAAAAAGGGGAAAACGGGAATGTGAGATGATGAAAAATACATTATCGGCTGAGAATCTCTTCTCAGTTTGTCAGCTAAAGTTCTTAACAAGGGCTAAAGATGGTGTACAATTAATCATGGAGGAGAACTACGCCATGAAAAAAGATAAACAAGTTCACAAAGAAGCCAGCACAAGAAGCAAGGACTGGAGAATAAACAAACACACAAACAAATATTTACAGCCAAGCATGATCACCTACCGTCTGCTGATGTGAAAGAATCAGCAAATCCATATGGGCGCGTAGGTATACTCGTCTGTGTGTTATCCAAACTTGGTAGAAGCGAAGATGAAGAGGACTCCATTTGACTTCTACCTTCATAAGCCTGCCACTTCTTAAGTGCTTGTGGCAAGGACATGTCAAGGTCAATGCCATATATATCTTCAGAGTTCTGATCAGAAGGTTTCCAGAGTTCAACAAGAGAAGAAAGCACGTTAACAGCATGACCCATGTCAGGCCTTTGATATGGCTCCCTCGCACAGCAGTGGCCAGCTAACTCTGCTACAGTATGGATACTGGCAAGAGTTTCCTCGTTGAGATCGATTGCGGAGTCAATGGCCTTGCGGAATAAGTCCTTATTTATGGACATTCTGCGGAACCATGTTACAAGGTGCATGCTATCCTCGGGTTGAGTCTCATCAAGAGCTTTTCTTCCTGTTATCAGCTCCATCAGTATTACCCCAAAGCTGAACACGTCAACCTTAGTCGTCACACGGCCAGTGACTGCAATCAGATAGCCATTTGCACGGCGGTGTTAGAGATGCATGGCTAAAAATCAATTAGCATCGACAATGATTAAACACAAGCATTCTGAACTTTTATGCCACCAAGCAAAGAAATCAGATAGCAAACATCCAACCGATCCAAATAACCATATATTCTGAAGACAAGATAAATCCAACGGGAAATTTACATTTTTAAAGCACATTTAAAAATTAATGGCTTAGAAGGAAAATTAAGTCATGTCTATTTGTCTGCATTGAACATGAATAACATGGATGTAGAGGTTACATTCTTGAGTCTTGACTTTCAAGTGAAGAACGAATTTGTAGTAAATGGTTTAAATTAACTTTCTTTCAATGCTTTAACTAGAAAGTATTACTTCAATGAATGGTTGTAATGAATGAATGGCGTTACTTTACAAACTTCCTATTACGTTGGTAGAAAATAACTCTTCCATCTATCTCTCCATCAGTAAATTAGCAAAATATGGGCATAGACCTGGTTAGACGGTGGTGACAAGAAGAATGTCATATTAGCTTCCTACCATGAAATGAATGTCCCCAGTAGCTTTTAAGGCATCATGGATCCTAGCAGGAAATAAATATGCTGATCAAACTAGAATTTGCTAAGGTATACTATTCGCAGGGATAGCATACCAGGACACTAAGCCATCGACTTGAAATATAGTTTTTGCCTATACCATTCGTACTGTGTATTTGAGGAAACTAACTAAATTCGGTATAGCCCGCAAAGATATGGCGTGATGAAGGGAAGTTATGAAACTTAAAGATACCTGCATACTCTGGTGCCAAATATCCAAAAGTTCCTGCAATTCTTGTTTCTATAGATGCTTTTCCTTCCGGAGCAAGACGTACAAGACCAAAATCTGCAACCTTTGCCCTCATGTCATCTCCAAGGAGAATATTTGAAGGTTTTAAGTCCCTGTGTATGAAGCTTTGATGGGCCAAGCCATGGAGGTACTCGACACCCCTTGCCACATCTAAGGCAATTGTCAATCTTTTATTCCACTCCAGTGGTTCCAGTCCTTCTTCTGGCCAGTTAAAAAGATGCCTACTCAGTGTTCCTTGAGGCATGTACTCGTACACAAGCAGCTTCTCATTCCCATCCAAGCAGTAACCTAGAAGAGCTACTAGATGCCGGTGGCGAACCTTTGTCAAAACAGCAATTTCAGACTTAAATTCTGCTGCACCCTTCCCAGTTATTGCCCCACACTCCATTCTTTTCACTGCAATTCTTGTGCCATCATGAAGTTCACCTTTGTAAACCGTTCCAAAACCTCCTTGTCCCAATATGTTATTCTGACTGAAGTTCTCCGTGACATTCTTCAGAACTTGTATGGAAATGACCATGTTTCCGGCTTCAACCATTTGAATATCTCCTGCCTCACTGCCAGGTATGGTTCGCGTTTCACTGGCACCACCAACACTGACACTTGAACCTGCAACCGTTATCTTCACACTCTCATTATCCGACCCAGAATGCCTAGGATGAATAACTAGTGCATTTGGGCTCTGGACCCTGCTCAACTTCTTTTGCTTCATCCTAAACAGGCAGAAAATCAAGAAACCAATCATAGAAACCACAAACACCGCCCCAATCACCGAAAAGACGATCACTCCCACATGGGATGACTTTTTTCCACCATATCCAGAACCCCCACCATTTTCTCCCTTTGAATTGGGAGCCGTTGGAGACACTGAACCCTGAGGGGACTGGCTACTCTTATCCTTCCCTATATCAACATTACCACTAGTAATCACAACTACATTACTCCTAAAACTCGGCACCTTCCCATAAAGCTGATTGTTCGCAACATTCAATTGACTAAGCAGAGGCAAAGTAGTAAGCTCTACTGGAATCGAACCAGTGAGATTGTTATCCGCAAGTACTATTCTTTGCAAAGATTTAATCTTTGAAAACTCAGGGGATATCTCACCACTAAGTTGCATCTTCTGAAAATTAACAACTGTTATATTCCCATTTCCACAAGTAATTCCAATCCAATCAGCACAAGGATCATTCCCCTTCCAACTCTCAGCAAACCTTTGAGGATATCCCATAGGCCCAACAACAGATAGAAGAAACTGCACCCTGGGATCACAATCACCAGGTCCTGACAAACAAAAACTATTGGAATCCTTACCATTATCCACTTCAACTCCATTGCCAAACACCGGCATTGGACCCTGAAACAAGTTATTAGTCAAGTTCACAACTTCAAGCGTCTTCAGACCCACCAACGAAGCCGGAACAGGACCAGTAAACCTGTTATCCCTCAAATTCAAAACCTGCAAACTCTTCAAACCGGACAAATCAGGCAAGGGACCCGTGAAAGCATTGGAATGCAACCAAACCTCGGTCAAGAAAGTCATGTTCTGCAAAACACCAACACTGCCACCGAGCCTGTTAAAACTCTTCTGCCCGTTCAACCACAAAGACTGAATCTGGGAGCCAGAAAAGCTTAAAGGCAACGTCCCCTCGAGGTTATTGATGGCCAAGTGCAGAAGGGTCAAACCAGGAAACACGTCGGAGCTGAAGAAATCCGGCAGAGTGCCTCTGACGTTGGCAGAGTTGGCGGAGAAGTTCTGAAGCACAGAAGCGTTGCGGAGAGTCTGAGGAACCTCCCAGGGCTCAAAGGGGTTGTTGTCGATCTCCACCGCCTGGAGCTGCGACATGCCAGCGAAGAAGTCAGCGGGAACAGCGGAGAAGCGATTGTTGCTGGCAATGAAGACTCGGAGGTTGGGCAAGCCGTTGAGTGAGGGAATAGGACCCGAGATGTTGTTGTATTGGAGCTCCAAGTGTTCCAACTGGGTCAAGTTCTGAAGGGTTGCAGGGAGAGTGCCTTGGAGGTTGAGGCGCCCGATTTGGATCCGGGTGACCCGTTTGTCGTCGGAGCACCCCACGTGGTCCCATTTGCATGGGTCCGGGCCGGACCACCCCGGCGGGTTGAGGCTGTTCTTGAGAGCCAGCATTGCTGAAACGTCGTCTTGGGAGTTAGCCAAAAAGGTCATCACGGTTAACAAAATGACCATGGCTAGAGGGTTTAGAAAGTGGGTGGTGGTAGAAGTGTTCATCATGTCGTTGTAGTTTTGGTTTGAGAGTGGTTTGTTTTGGGTTGGGATTGGTTTGGGAGAAGGTAGTGTGATGTGATGTGAGGGAGTGCATAGGAATTAGAAAAGAAAGTGTTTTGTTTGTTGGGTTTGAGAAGGAGGTGGGAATGAGAAGGGAACGGGGAAGAAGGAGGAACGCACATGGCAATGGGGCCCAGGTATCTGCCTGTCGTGACCATTGCTGATGACGAAAGATTAAGAGTGAGAGAAAGAGGCTGTACTGTCATCACTGCCTCTGATTCTGATGCATGCCCCATCTTCCCATCTGCATTTTCTTTTAGTAATACCAATAATAAATAACATACTTTTAAAATAATTAAATAAATAAAAATAGCTTAATATAATATACTTTCATCTTTGAGTCATACATAATTTTGGAATTAGAATCAGTATTTGACCTGCATTATTTTAAGAGTATGTCCCAGACTATTTGAGGGCGTAACATTAATAACAGATAAGCATGGGAAAGCTGTGAATAAGCCCAGAAAGAAAAAGGAAAAGTGACAGGAATGAAAGATATAAAATAAGATGATGAAGCCTTAAATTTATTATTCTTGTGTTGAGGTCTCAGTATCTTAGCTGGAGGGTATGTATAAATATCCATTGCTAATGAGGGACGGGGAGACTTGAAAAGATTTTTAATCTTTTTGAGTAACTAATAATGACACAAGGAAACTTTCTTTAATGCCTCTTGTTAGAGATGTCAACCATAGGTACCTACCTACCTATAATCCATCTTATATTATAACATTCATCTTTACATTTACGTTTTCTAAAGTAAAAATCATTTTTGTATTTACAATACTCATAACATTTGAATCAATCATCGGTTACTAATGTTATTTTATATCTTAATCCTAAATAACTATTTATATATATAATTAAGTTTAAATTTGATGAAACAATGATTGTGCAATGTGACGAAGGTTCAGCTCTTTTAAAGATCCAATAATTCATACAAATTTAATGGTTTATAAATTTGTAAGTTTTTTATCCTTATCTCAGACCACACATAGTTGGGCCTAGGTTTCTACACCTAAAGCCACATAACTTATAATTATGGTTATTTCTTTTTATAGATTCATTTTCGTATAATGATAATATTAACAAAAAAAAATTAAATTTTTTGGAATTTTTTCATTTATTTATTTTCTATCAAATCACTTGTATTTTTATTAACTTGAAGACATACAGGGTTGTTATAAACACAAATCTCATTCTTACATAACTATATCAATAAATATTCAAATTTGAATTCTTGTTCATTTAATATAAGTTTTTTTCCTTGAAATAAATATTTGTGTCAACACCCATTATACAAATTGTTGATTCGTTGGTTATGTTTGAACAAAATATTGGATTCACTTTTTTTCATATAAACCCCACTTAATTATATTCTTAGTTTATAATGTTTAAAATGAATATATTAAAACATTATTTTAGTGTTTTAATATCATTTGAGATTATTTTCTTTTTAAGTGTGGTACAACTGTATTATAATAGCGAGGAAGACAAGAACAAGACCAGAGCATTAATAAGAATATAAATAAAGAAAAAAAAGGAGAAATGGGGAGAAAATAATTATAAATACGGTCCACCTTATAATCTGTCTTATTCTAAACCATTTATACTAAAAATTTTAATAAAAAATTAGATAATATTTATGATTTAAAAAAAAATCAGTTTGTCCCTTTTAAACATTGTTTGAGTATACTATAGAACAGTTGAGTCTATATAAAAAATATAATTATTATTCATATATATTTATTGTCTTTATACATTTTATTGTCGATAAAGTATTTTACCTTCAACTTAAAAATAATTTTCTTACTGTATTTTCATATTTTAGTGAAATTTCTTACCAGTGTTGAAGATGAAGTGATGTATTTTGCTTAAAAAATGACCTGTTGAAAGACCAAGCAAAATACCATTTGTTGTTGTTTCCTTTGTAGCCCAACCCAATAATGGTGGCTGCAACAAAATGCATACATATGATCCTTGGACCTGATCTAAAGAATTTAGGCTCACAATAAAAAATAAAACCAACACACTGGGTCAATTTCACTAAGCCCAAGTTTAAGTCTTAGGAACATACATAAATTGGACTATGCCGAAGATAAGGATAAAGATGCAAGGTCATATACCATATGATATGACAGGGGAATCGAATTTTTAGATCCCAACATTGATTGAATAGAATATGACTTAAAGTAGCAAAAACTAAACAACATCTCCAGTTTTATTAACAACTATTTTTAGTCAAACTGTTAAAAAGTTAAAAAAATCTTACAGTTTTCAATATATTTTCTCTTTAATACAACGATGATAATCATGTTTGGATGTATGAACTAACGAAAACAACCTTAAACCCTTCATCCTTAGCATTAGCACAGGTGCACTTCTTGTTTAACATTGTTTTTATTGATGAAGCCGTATCCCAAAAACTATATTAAAATTATTGTCATTTACAACTGTATTGTGGGCGCATTTCAGCAACAGAATCATTGGTATTTTGGTGAAAGGTCGAAGGCCCAATCGTGCAAGTAGTAGTATTGGTGTCTGACTAATACACAAGTGTGGTACCAGAATTCAACTATGCCAGTTAAGTGGGTTCATCACAGAAAAAAATAGTTAAAGATTGTAGAAGCTTACTATGCAAGCTCTCCAAAATTGGAATCATGAACATGTGTTTGACAGCAATTTGTTCATAGGAAAAGGCATTGGTATGAATACTTATCAAAATTGAGCATATGCGGCTAATCCTTGTCTCTGGTGGACACTAACTAATCAGCACTACCAACATGTTTATGGTAAACAATTGTAAAGTGAGGAAGCATGAGAATATATTAAAAAGTCACAAACCGAGTGGAAGAATTTGCTTTATAATAATAATAATAATAATAATAATAATAATAATAATAATAATAATAATAATAATATGCAGAAGTAGTAGAGTGTAATAATCAAGCAGAGTAGTTATTATGGATATTTTCATTACTGCAATGTTGATACCAGAGGTGACTAAGGTATGGAAATAGAGTTTAGAATAAGAGATGTGAAGTGGGGGACCAATTTGAATAGCTGTGAAGGCTAATGTGGTTATGAGCGGCGTCTTGGGAGATGAACTAAACGACGGAAAGATGAACTTGTCTCTAACTGCCATGACCAAAAGGTAGAGTGTCACTTGGTCACGTGCCATTTATGTGACAGGGTAAAAGCAAACACAGTAGGATCGATAGACACCATTCATTAAATTGGGTTGTCTTTGCCACTGTCTTATACTTGTGTTAGTTTCCTCAGAAAAAAAGTACTGTTCTATTGCATTCTTTATTCCTCTATCACTTTTATTTTTTATTATCCTCAACTGGTTTTGATTGGAGGAGGATCTAACAACATACGTGGCAAGGTTGCATTTGTCATGGTTATTTTAATGTTTATCTTCAACACTCTCTCTGACCTGCTTTGGACATGTGCTTAGGCCTTAATGGGCTAATTAGTAGGCATTCCCCTAGCCTTGGAATTCTTTTTATTGCCTAAAGTAAGTGTTGAAAAATTTGCTTTGATTTGAGAAGCATATAGGCCTTATTTCTCCACTATCCTCTGCTACTTTCTCTATCTTTTTGGGTGTTAAAAGACTAATCCCCTTTGAACATGTGCTTAAGCTTCTAATGCCCCATTAAAATATAGGTTATTATGTCTAACTTTGCCTGCTTCAACCCAAAAGCATGATGCAGGATCCAATTTTGCCAAGATATATTCTTCATAAAGCACTTTTTGTAGGATAGGTATACTTCTTTATAACCCATGCCTTGTCAGCCCTTTAGACTAGTGCTTCTCTCTTATATATTCTTTCTCCGTTTATTGCTCTTACTTAAGTTCCCTTCTAGTTTTAACTACTATTCTATCACCAATGCATGATTGGGAAAATTTTCAACAACAAACCAATTCCTAGAACACAACAACCTGTTTCTTTTCACTGGTGAGAATTCAATTCCTAGAAAACCCATTTCTCAACCTGTTTTTTGGATGAATTTTTTTTTTTACTTTTAATAGTTTATAAAAAATAAAAATTAAACTTTATCTATATTTAGCAAAACAAAAAGTATTAAAAAAACCATTTTTATAAATTAATTTATTAAAATTTAAACAAAATTTATTAAAAAATATATTTTATTAAATTAATGGCCGTAATATTTCACATTTCATATCATGTAATACTATTTTTTTCGATGAATTAAATTTAAAAAATTAAGATTTAAATTTTTTTAAAAATAAATAAACACAAAGAAGCATAAATTAAATTTCAAATTACAATATATTTTTAATTTATAAATAATTATATTTTGTAGAACTCATTAATTAAAATTTAATTTTAAATGTACTATTAATATATGTGTATAAATAAAAATTTATTTATATTTTTATAATATATATTTACTATTTTTGATATTTATTTAAATTAATAAACTAATTATTTTTATAGTGTTATTTATAAATATAATATATATATATATATATATATACAGACATTTATAAATAAATAATTATATTTATTACAATACATAAATATTTTAATTGTTATAAATTATTAAAAAAAAACTTTCATATTTGGTTCGACCTGTTAAAAAAAAAATACTCGTTGTCCCAGTAAATAATTTGGCATCGGTTTGGTTTTTGGAATTATTTTTTCTAGAAGGGTTTATTGTGGAAAAAATGTGGCATGGTTGGTGCTTTTAAGATTACAGCGAAGTATAATACAGACATCAAATAGAGCCATGAAAAAGGCAAGAGCTTGCTGCGAAATTTTGTCTGTCTGAAGCTTCTGCACTAACTTCAAATGGGATCCTATGGAGCTTCTGATGTTATGCCTGTGCCAAGATACCATTTTCTGTTTTCTTTTTCCGGTTTGAAGCAGTGGAATCTTAAATAGTTTACAGTAAATTTATCACTTTTTTTTGGGGTGTTTAACTATTGATCACTGATAAATAACCATGTTTATTGAGTATGAAGGACATTTAGAAAAAATTATTAATTCACAGGAAGATTAATTCAACTTTGCAAATCCTTATATTGTGCATTAGGGTTAATTAGCTTGCAAGATGGGTGAAGGGCATGACACAATACATGCTGTGAAAACTTAAAAGCAATTGTTGATAATATTCTAATAATATAAACTGTACTATTGTTCAGCACAGTGTAAGAGAATTAATCTAAAAAATACTAAAACTAAAATCGAGGTGGTTCCTTGACATCTGCTAAACATAGAAGTGTGTGAAAACAGTGTTGTTGAATTTATGTGCATTTATTTTATCAAGTTAGAGAAAAAATGAAATAATGGAACACCGACAAGACACACCAAAATCCTTTTGGCATTGTTATTTCTAAAACCGTAGATCGATGTGTGTTGTAGGCATATTCTTCCAAAACTCAATGGAATTGTTTTGTTACATGGGAGTACCGTTGTGATTGTACCCGTACAATAGATCCCATGTTGGATCCATTATCCATATGATGCTCCAAACGTAATGGCTTATGTATATGTGCGTACAATACCTACCCAAAAATATATATATTTGAAAACTAGCTTTTATGTATCATTCTACTTTACCCAATTGTAGGACATATATATTATTCCCCCTTCCATCATGTAATAATTGATGCTACCACCAACCACATTTTAATATATAATAATAATTGAAAAAAATATTTATATTCCTATCAATGCTTTTATATAAAAATATAATAATATTATTTTTTTATAATTATTCTAATCACACGGAGAACATTCGGATGTTAAAAATCTATTTATAAACTAAAAAATATTAATTCTAATCCTATATTTATTCGGATTTCTTTGATAGTTGATCAAATATCATGTATTCGCAAATATCAAACCTATTAGAAGGATTACACATGAAGCACATCCCTAGACATAGAATATAAAATTAGTGATAGTCCGAAATAATTGATTTATAGAGTAATTTTTCTTATATGATAATATTATGTACAAATTAAACTTTTTGGGTATTAAACAGAAACGCTTTTTGTTTTACCTAATAAGAAGTGTCAATTTCGAACTCAGACAGTGTCTTTTGATACTTGGCTTCATGCCAACAACCACTCAGAAAATTGTCACTAGAAGCCATGACTTGATTTATGTGCTTTTCAGGTATAGTGGTACTGTAAAAATTTATTAACCGTTGAAATCAAACTATTTTACCACTTATAAGGAACTCTTGTGGGTGTCCACGTAATAATTGTACACAAGTTAATGGTGAGACAGTTGCATGTGTGAGTGAAAATTGTTAATTATTTGAAATCATATTAAGGGCATGAGTGATAATAAATAAGTGAAGCAGCTATAGCTTTCCCTTTTATGAAAGATATATAGGATTGTGAATGATGATGATGATGATGTTGTTGTTAGATAGTGTAGCATGATGGATTTGTGTGACATACTCATGCTGGTGCTCGCAAGCAAGGGATGACAACTCGCGTGGTTGAAATTAAAGATCAAATTAAGCAACAAAAGGGGGGGTTCCTAGTTGAAAAAGAGCAAATGTTGGATCTATGGCCATTATGTTTCTATAATTTCGTGCGTGGAATAATGGTCCATCCCATTATCTTCTAAAAAAAACTGCCATGTAATGATCCAGATTGAAGGCCATCCAATGCAAACCCTCCAATCTCTTTCCTTTTGATGGGACGATCATATCCACTTGGTTTCCTATATCCTACGTAATGCTACAGATTGTTATCCTTTTGCCCCAACAAACAACCATAACGTTTCTTTCCCAAATATGAGATAGTATTGAGTTTTAATTAGAATAAGAAATTTTAATTCTGATCTAAATCAAAACGGTGTTAAGTTTTGTCCGTTCTAACATGGTCTTGAAAAACAAAGCGAACCGTCCCAGAAATTAATAACTCCATGCTTTAATTGCTGTTTCTTTATAATTCTATCTTTATCTTAGACTTGAAAGCAAGTTGAACGAGCAAAGAGGGAATTTAGAAAGAAAAAGAAAAGAGAGGGGGTTCACTCACATAATTCATAAATACTATGTAAAACGGTTGTTGGGAAGTGAAGGACACGAGTCGTATTATTTATTGTGAGTGGAGTTGCTAAGAAACAAATGATGTCATATCATAGTACATGGGATCATGAATAATATATGGATGGTCTGCATATGATGGGGAGAGTAGTTATGCTGGACGTGCTGGATGGAACCAAACATGAAACTTTGAAATCTGACCCCATGCATTGGTGTTATCTGAAACACTTTTGAAGTGGTGGAGATGGAGAGAGAAAGAAAGCTTGAGCGTAGATAATCTTTGGTGGGAATAATGACTACACTGTTGTTGGCCTGTTTTTAGGTTCTTCCTCATACCACACCACACCACGTACCATCAACCTAGTTCTACTCTCAACTTTGTAACTAGGGAAAGCACCTGTTACTTCTTACTCGTTAGCTTTCTTAGAACAGCGTAAATTTGCAAAAAGAAAAAAAAAAGTTTGGTTTTTTATATATTATCATTAGGATGATAAATTTGTTTACATATTCATGAACAAGATAACAATTTAAAAGCACTGTTTCATAGACTATTTACTAAAAAAAATAGAATACACTAGTTCAGACACTGAAACGACTGTAGCATACTAATTTGATCATATCTCCCACTCTCTCTTTTTATATATCCCAAAACCTCCTTTTCTTCCTCTGACTTCTCTGTTCCCTAACTCTCCACTTCTTTCTTACCTGTTCTTTCCCATAATTAAACATCAATACCCACCATCTCTATGTCTCTCTCTCCCCATTTACTCCTTCCTTGCTTTTTATTCCTTTTCAGTTAAACTTCTTAAATAAAAAAATATCTAAGGCCACACCTTACCCTCTATTAGTGTTTCACAGAAGCATAGAAAACTCAATGACCAGTTTTGTCTCTCATAAACAGTCATAGCTAGGAAAGCTACACTGGAAACAGGTGTCTCCAATTTCAAAGCAGTTTTTAGGTGATTTCGGAAGCAGGCCACTTTCACTTGATCTTGAAATTTGAGAGGGTATGCAACCTTCTTGCACTGTCATCTGTGTACTTTAAGTAAGTACTGCTTGTCTTATTTTGGTTTTTCACTTTTGCTTTTTTCAACCCTTTCTTGGGTTTAGGTAAGTCTGAATCACTCAATAAAGGAAATGGTCTGTGGATTTTACCTTCGAACTTCATGTCTTTCCATCAGTGCCCCGTTTTGCCTCCACCAAACTCTGCCTCTCTAGCCAAGGCCCCAGAGTAATTTTCCTCTCTAAACTTTCACAAGTAGGCTTTCTTTGTAGCTATACTGTGTGTTTGTTTATCCAGAATGGGGAAATCCTGGTATATTTAGCTCTAAACTTGGGAGAGACTACGATGAAGCAAGCATCTGCATGCAATTCTTTGTTTTGGATATGTTGATGTTGTTGGATCTCTGTATTAATGTTTTTCTTTTTTTCTGTTTTGTTTGCTGATTGATGGTCTTAGTTTCTAAACTTTGACTTGCTCTGACACACCGATGGTGCTCATGTTTTGCCTGGGTGCTTTGTTCTCTCTCTCTCTCTCTCTCTCTCTCTCTCTCTCGAGACTGAGGTGCACTCATGACTTCCAAAATCCTTTCTCAATGAGTCCTTGGAAATATATAAAAAGAAAGAGTATCAACATTGATTTCAAAATAGATGTAGATGTCACTAAATATAGTTAACAATTACCAGAATTTGATAATACTTTTGCCATCATGAAATGTAAAAACACCAATATTGGCTAACTAATTGTTCATGAACTTCATGCCATGTCTCCTTGCTAATCACTTGCAAAAAAGTAGGCAATACAACAAGCATATATCATGTCATGATTCAATCAGGATAAGTTCCTCGCTGAAGATTTTAAGATTGCTCTCTACAATCTGAATTTGACCTAAATTTTAAGTATTCGGTCATATATTTGTGAATTGGATGGCTTTGAATGTTTCATATTAAGCAATCGGCATTCTTGTTTGTCTGAGTTTTTACTTAACTAGTCTGAAAAGGTAGAATATACGCTAGTTGGATTTTGTGTTATAGTCTTGAACTATTATATTTTGTTACCGAATCTGTCAGAAGCCAAATCATCATAAATTCCGAAAATGCAACTAAAACATGGTTTTGCTTGTAGACTCTAGTATAGATTGATGATCACTGCTACTAAACCCATTTGTTGTTACTAATAACCTTTACTGCATATGGGAACTATTTATCTTCGATCCGAATCACCCAACTATTTAGTGCTTTTTCTCTTACATTGACTGGCCAAACTAGTATGAACAAAAAAGCACCAACTAGAAATGTTTTTGCAGCAGGGAAAGTCCATATTTTAAGGAACATAAATCACAAAACATAGTTCTTGGATGAGTATATAGTCATCTTTTACACTATCAATATTGACTAAAGATTTTTTTTTTATGATTGCTTAATGAGCTGATTGAATTTCTTGGCTTTCGTAATTGCAGGATAAATTAAATATCCCAGTGCAAGCTCAAAAATAGATCTTATTCTGGATAATCTTGTGGTTAATTGCCACTCCTATTTTGTAAATTAGCTTCTAACTTGAGACAGATAAATCATGAAACCAAACTTTGATCTTGAAGTTGAGGCATATGCAGAATATGAATCTGAAGTTAGCAGCCAGGTTGCTTCCAATGTGTCTATTCAAGAAACCTCTATAGGTCCCTGTAGTGACAGCCTCACCAACATTTCCAACACCACAAATCTAAAAGGGATTCATCCTAATTCAGATGCTATTTCACTTGACTTAACTCTCAACTTCAAGAATAGTGAGCCAGGGGGAAGAGATTCAATAGGATTCTCATTCTCAAGCACTAGTGAGAGCAGCAATGAACCTGCATCTCAAACTACAGCAGCGACCATACCACGAGTCTTCTCTTGCAATTACTGTAAGCGCAAATTTTTCAGCTCTCAGGCTCTTGGTGGACATCAGAATGCACACAAGAGAGAAAGAACATTAGCAAAAAGGGCTTTGAGAATGGGATTTTTCTCTGAAAGGTATGCCAATCTAGCATCTCTCCCTCTGCATGGTTCTTTCAGGTCCTTAGGAATAAAGGCACACTCTTCACTGCACCATGGTTTCTCACCAACAATGAGGCCTCCTGAGATAAAAAACAATGCAAGATTTGATCAAGGGTATCTTGGCCTCCCAATATTCTTGGAGGATGATGAGTCAGATTTGTTGTGGCCGGGTAGTTTTCGTCAGGTTGTGGAGGCAGGTGATAGTCATCAGAATTTCATAATGACTGGAAGTTCAGATTTGAGTTTTACTGGGGTTAATCCACCTGTAGACACAGAGAACTCAACACCAGATTTGACTTTGAAACTTTGAAGGCGGTTATTTGGTATAGTTCTGGCCTTGAGTTGTCTGCTTTATTGTTATGTTATTGTACAGTAAGACATACATGCAAGGGGCCATGATTGCCAGATTGATTCCTATACTTGTTGGGTTTCCTTTTACTTTCATTTTAGTTTTCTCTTAGGAATCTTGCTTCGCTATTTTGCTTTGTATGTTTCTAATTGTATAAGGGCTCCGGGAGGACAATTTTGGAGCTTCTGTGCTTGTTATATAAATCATGTTTTTCCTTCATTGTAAATATTGAGCTTCTATGTGTTTTTTTTTTCTTTTGTTATTATTCTGGTCTTGTGGTGGATAAATTTGATAATGGTTCCAGTAATGACGGATATTTTGCTGCTATCATCTTGGAGGTGATCAAGGCTACTTGTATTGACTAGTGAAATTCCACTGTTCAACGTGGTTTGCCTTTGTGGCCGACAAAGACATGGTATGCTGGGCTTACGATAAGTTATTACCAAACCAAGAAGGATGAAATATAAATAGGACATAAAAAAGAGAATACTTAATAACCATAAATATTTTCAATGGCAGTCTCGTCGTAGCCACAAGTTATTGTATCAAATAGAATGAAAAGGATGAAAGAAAATGATTCTTCATTAATTGACTAACTGATATGAACAGTAATAACGACTTTCAGCTAAGAACGTTAACGTTAATACTCCCCTCAATATGAGAGGAAGATGAGGATTTTGGGAGAAGCTTTGTGAGAAGGTGTGTCAATTGGTGACAAGTTTGGACATGAACTAAGCGGATGGTACCGTGATGCACCTTTAACGAACACAATGACAATCAAGTTCTATTTGTTTGTGATGTAAATCATGGCCTAATTATCACTGAATACGAGCAAGTTTACCGAAATCTGTCAGCGGATAAGACAACCATGTTAGTTTACTGGCAAAGCAACTTCAGCGAATGACTATACTCAGCTTCAGTTGAGCATCTACTTATGGTGGTATGCGTTTTAGACTAAAAAGAAAACTAGAGAATCCTCAATGAAGACACAAAAACCAGTTGCAGATTTCCTTGGATCAGGACAAATTGCCAAGTCAAAATTAGCAGAAGACTGCAAATGAATGCTGGACATAGCAGAAATAGTATTCCTTGACCAGGACAGGGGTGCTTTTTGGTGTATCGTAGCAGCTGATGAGCCACATCAAGGCGAGTAGTGCGAGGTTGAGGGACAAATGGACTCAGTATATGCACAGCATAGCTGATGTGTGGTCTTGATATTGTCAGTTAAATATGCCAATAAGATGTATATATGTCCAATAAAAGCTGCGTTAATTTTAGATTGGGGTCCATTGTTGGTAAAAAATCAGTATCTTAGAGTAAAAAGGGGGGCTTATATGCTTTCTGAGAGGAGAATTATTTTGCTGGTCCGTCCTACTACAAGCCCCAAAAAGCATTTCAGTTGTCCAAGATCTTTAAGGTTGCAATGAGACTTAAAAATAAACTCGAGGACCATCATTTGTTGCTAATTCGAACTTGCAATGATAATATCATTGACTTTTAAACAATAAAGAATCATCACTGCTTTTTGTGATAACGGAGAAATCACTCTTTCATTGTAGAAATTTTTACAATATTTTTATATTAGGAATTTCTTTTTATAAAAAAACTTTACTGTACTCTTTTAAGTAATTTTGAGTAATATTGTAACATTCTTCGAATTTAGTTTCATAGTTACTCCATTGAGAAATTTATACAATTTTTTATATTGGAGAAAATTTTTAGTAAAAAAATATCACCGCACTCTTTTAGGCTCTATAATTTATTTGTTTTCTTTGTAATAATAATTTTACATTTTTGGAATTCAGTTTTTGTAGTTACACTAATAAGAAATTTCTGTAATTTTTTTTATCGGATAAAGACATTCCACTACAGTCTTTCAAGCTTAATTTTTAATTTTTCTAGTAATTTCCGTTAGGGAATTTTTGTAATAAAAAAATTCTACTACACTCTTTCAAGCTTATTTGTTTATTTTTCTATTTGTTTTAAGTAATGTTTTTATATTTTAGGATTTTAGTTTTCGTAGTTACACTGGTAAGAAATTTGAACAATTTTTTGTGTCGGAGAATTTTTTTTTTTATAAAATTCCACTCCACTCTTTCAAAACTTGTTTTTTTTTAGGAGTTTCTTTGAGAAATTTTTTTAGTAAAAAAATTTCATTGTGGTGTTTCAAGTTCATTTTTTTATTTTTCTATTTGTTTTGAGTAATATTCTTGCTTTTTAGGAATTTAGTTTTCGTAACTACTCCAGTTAGAAATTTTTACAATTTTTTTGTGTTGGGGATTTTTTTTCATAAAAAAATTCTACTGCATGATTTCAAGCTCATTCTAGTAATTTTGAGTAATATTGTAACATTTTTCGAATTTAGTTTCGTAGTTACCCTATTGAGAAATTTATACAATTTTTTGTATTGGGGAAAAATTTTAGTAAAAAAATTACACTGCACATTTTTAGACTCTATAATTTATTTGTTTTCTTTGTAGTAATAATTTTACATTTTTGGAATTCAAATTTTGTAGTTACACCAATAAGAAATTTCGCAATTTTTTGTACTAGGTAAAACCATTCCACTACTCGCCTTGCAAGCTCAATTTTTTATTTTTCTAGTAGTTTTTGTGTTGGAGAATTTTTGTAATAAAAAAATTTCACTACAATCTTTCATGCTCATTTGTTTATTTTTATATTTGTTTTGAGTAATGTTTTTACATTTTAGGATTTTAGTTTTCTCGAGTTACACGGTAAGAAATTTGTACAATTTTTTGTGTCGGGGACTTTTTTTTATGAAATTCCACTCCAATCTTTCCAAGCTTGTTTGTTTTCTAGGAGTTTATCTAGGAATTGTTTTTAGAAAAAAAATTTAACTGTGATGTTTCAAACTCATTTTTTTATTTTTCTATTTGTATTGAGAAATATTATTGTTTTTTAGGAATTTAGTTGTCGTAATTACTCCAGTTAGAAATTTCTTTAATTTTTTGTGTTGGAGATATTTTTTCATAAAAAAATTCCACTGCACTCTTTCAAGCACGTTCTAGTAGTTTTGAATAATATTATAAAATTTTTCGAATTTAGTTTCGTAGTTACCCCATTGAGAAATTTATTCAATTTTTTGTGTTGGGGAAAATTTATAGTAAAAAAATTTCATTGCACTCTTTTGGACTCTATAATTTATTTGCTTTCTTTGTAGTAATAATTTTATATTTTTGGAATTTAGTTTTTGTAGTTACGAAGTAAGAAATTTCCGCAATTTTTTGTGCTTGGGTAAAAACATTCCACTATAACCTTTCAAACTCAATTTTTTATTTTTCTAGTAGTTTTGTGTTGGAGAATTTTTGTAATAAAAAAATTTTACTACACTCTTTCAAGCTCATTTGTTTAATTTTTTATTTATTTTGAATAATGTTTTTACATTTTAGGATTTTAGTTTTCGCAGTTACACCGTAATAAATTTGTACAATTTTTTGTGTCGAAGATTTTTTTTATGAAATTCTACTCCACTCTTTCAAAGCTTGTTTGTTTTCAAGGAATTTCTCCGGGAAATTTTTTTAGTAAAAAAATTCCACTGTGGTGTTTCAAGTTCATTTTTTTATTTTTTTATTTGTTTTGAGTAATATTCTTGCTTTTTAGGAATTTAATTTTCGTAATTACTCCAGATAGAAATTTCTACAATGTTTTTGTGTTGGGGATTTTTTTTCATAAAAAAATTTCAGTGCACTCTTTCAAGTAATTTTGAGTAATATTGGAACATTTTTTGAATTTAGTTTCGTAGTTACCCTATTGAGAAATTTATACAATTTTTTGTGTTGGGGAAATTTTTTAGTAAAAAAATTTCGAGTGCACTCTTTTAGGCTCTATAACTTATTTGTTTTCTTTTTAATAATAATTATAAATTTTTGGAATTCAATTTTTGTACTTATACTAATAAGAAATTTCTGCAATTTTTTGTGCTTGGGTAAAGACATTGCACGACAACCTCTCAAGCTCAATTTTTTATTTTTCTAATAGTTTTGTGTTGGGGAATTTTTGTAATAAAATAATTTCACTACACTCTTTCAAGCTCATTTGTTTATTTTTCTATTTGTTTTGAGTAATGTTTTTACATTTTAAGATTTTGGTTTTAGCAATTACACCTTTAAGAAATTTATACAATTTTTTTGCGTCGGGGAATTTTTTTTTATGAAATTTCACTCCGCTCTTTCCATGCTTGTTTGTTTTCTAGGAGTTTCTCCGGGAATTTTTTTTAGTAAAAAAAATTTCGGTGTTGTGTTTCAAGCTCATTTTTTTATTCTTTTTATTTGTTTTAAGTAATATTCTTGTTTTTTAGGTATTTAGTTTTCGTAATTACTCCAGTTAGAAATTTTAACAATTTTTTTGTATTGGGGATTTTTTTTCATAAAAATTCCACTCGCACTCTTTCAAGCTCATTCTAGTATATTTGAGTAATATAGTAACATTTTTCGAATTTAGTTTCATAATTACCCCATTGAGAAATTTATACAATTTTTTGTGTTGGGAAAAGTTTTTAGTAAAAAAATTTTACTACACTCTTTTAGGCTCTATAATTTATTTTTTTTCTCTGTAGTAATAATTTTACATTTTTGGAATTCAGTTTTTGTTGTTACACAAGTAAGAAATTTTTGCAATATTTTGTGCTGAGTAAAGATATTCCACTACAGCCTTTCAAGCTCAATTTTTTTTTCTAGTAGTTTTGTGTTGGAAAATTTTTGTAATAAAAAAATTTTACTACACTCTTTCAAACTCATTTTTTTTTTCTATTTGTTTTGAGTAATGTTTTTATATTTTAGGATTTTAGTTTTAGCAGTTACACCGCTAAGAATTTTTTACAATTTTTTGTTTAGTGAATTTTTTTTTTATGAAATTCCACTTTACTCTTTCCACTGTGGTGTTTCAAACTCATTTTTTTTATTTTTCCATTTTTGTGAGTAATATTCTTACTTTTTAAGAAT